CCCCCCCCCCCCCCCCTTCAAGGTAAACCACCCAAGCTCTGAACCCCCTTCCCTACAACAGACCATCACCACCACCACATCCGCAACGTCCAACGCAGCCGGCCAACCCCCACTCCCGCCACTGCCATGCTATCCTTTATCCTCATCCAGAATCGCCAGTTCGTTCCCTTTCTCCCGCCGAGTATTCCCCGTCCAATCCGCTAATGAAAACCTCTCTCTCTCACCAGGGGCAAAACCCGCCTTGCCAAATGGTACGCCCCCTACAGTGACGACCAAAAAATCAAGCTCAAGGGCGAAGTACACCGGCTCGTGGCGCCCCGCGACCAGAAATACCAATCCAACTTCGTCGAGTTCCGCAACAACAAGATTGTGTACCGCCGGTACGCCGGGCTCTTCTTCTGTGCGTGCGTCGACACAAATGACAACGAGCTGGCGTACCTCGAGGCCATCCACTTCTTCGTCGAGGTGCTGGATGCCTTTTTCGGAAACGTGTGCGAGCTGGATCTTGTCTTTAACTTTTATAAAGTCTATGCGATACTAGATGAGGTGTTCTTGGCCGGAGAGATCGAGGAGACAAGCAAGCAGGTTGTTTTGACAAGGTTAGAACATTTAGACAAGTTGGAGTGATTATTCTTTCTGGCTTGACAGAGAACAAATGCACGCGGAGATGGCTCGGCTTCGCTAAAGAGTCAGCTTCTTCAAAATCTTGTTGCACAGCACTTGACGAGTCCCCTTCCTGAGGGCTTAAGTTACATCATGGAGTTTGGCGTTGCGCAAGGATTAACCGGGATACCATGGACGACATTGCTGGGCGGTGGCTTGGTTATTTAAGGTCAATTTATTACATTCGATTATCTAATTTTCTTGGGAGGAAAATAGCAGTGGCTTAACACCGGTCGCGCCGTCGCCTGTTTCACTTCTGCCTTGCCCTCCCCGACTATCACTACATTCAACGTCGTCTCAACCCAAGGCTTCGATATGCTCACAAAGTCCATAGCCGCTTCCATCTTGCTTCGCCGAGACATCAAGGGGCTGAATAGCTACATCACTCTGGTGCAGACTATCTGCAATGGCTTGCCCAATACTGCTTCGCCCCCGGACCTCCTCATCTGCAACAAGAGTCTTTGTCGCAGATGCGCTCCGCTCTTCCTTTTCCTCAACAGCGCCAAAACTTGCGGCGTTGCTCTTCTTGTCTTCAGCTGCAACTAGAGGATCAGTCGTGTCGCCAACCTGCTTCACCTCGATGCTGGCAGAACAAAAAGCTTCACCGTTATTGTGGTGCAACTTGCACGCAGCAGCATGCCCAACACCATCAAGCTCCTCACTTTCCTTGTTTGCACCAGACAGGCTTGTTATAGAGGAAATGCTGTCATCTTCCTCCCCTTCCGCAATGCCGCCAGCCGCGGCACCATTCTTATTGCCTTCAATTGCAATGGAATGGTCAATGGCGCCATGACTTCCCTCCAGCATGACTGCGACCAAGGGAGCCTCATTTTCGGCTCTGGTAGTAAGTTCAATCTTGTCACTGCTGCTCTGCCACAGCTCCATTGCCGTTTGCCGTGCCTCATGAGTAGTGTGCTCCCACTCTCGATTCGGAAACAGGTCATGGACACTTGGGCTCCGGCCAAGAGAACTGGCGGAAGTCATCGATTCTGTACTCTCAGAAGGAGAAGGACCACTCGGCTTTGGTCCCAGAACGAAGCTCCCGTCTATGTCCTTTGCACCCGGAATGGGTGTCCCGCTGGTCAAAAGGGATGGCAAATGGCTGCCATCCAACACTTCGCCATCTTCAAGGTCTATTCTGAGCTTCTTGGTCATCGGCTCATTACCTAGACAAATCAAACCTTCAGGAGAAAACGTTCTATTAAATTTTCTCTTGAGTGCGAGCCCAAACTTGGACAAAAAATCATCTGCGGTTTGGCAAGCAACTTCGCCTGCTTCGTTGTCCACTGTTTCTCCAACATGTCCCTCTTCATCCAACGAGTCACATTTGTCCTAGGGAGCGTTAGGTCGAGAAAACAACGTTGATAATCTATACTCACCTCCTCCCAAGGGGACAAGCGACCAAATTCATGATGGGGAATACTTCGTTGGCGACTCTTTTCAGACTTAATACTCACGCTGGGGCGACTCCGTGGCCCACAGTCCAAACCATCGGGAACACGGGGGCGAAGGGCCAGTTTACTCTGTTCCATGTTGACCGACGGAAACAAATCATCAGAATGTTTTGGAGGCGTCGGCTTCGTCGGCAAATCCCCCATCATAACTTCTGTTGGATGAGGAGACACCTGGGAAAGGACTTGCGTGCTGCTTTCGGTAGCAGACTGATTCCTCTTGCTGTATGTGCTCCATTGGGTATTGGGCCGATGCCACTCGCAGTCCCAGACATAGTGAGAGCCGGATACTCCGCAAATAGCGCAAATATATCTCGGATGCGGAGGGGGATCCCACGACGAGTCGTTGATGGTAGGACAATTGGAGATAGCATGCCCTAAGGCAACCTGTTTAGCCATGAATAAGCTGATAAAATTGCTAGATACACTCACCTGCCGTGTGGCATCTCCGACAAATATCTTTAGCAAGAGGTTTTGTCAAGCTAAGACCGCCCGGGACCTTGGAGGCTTCTAAGTTCTTTAGAATGCCTTCCTGCTGGGCAGCCTGCTCATGCGCCTCCTCTTCCTGGCAACGCTTCTTATCAAGGTCCCGAAGCTCATACATTCGCTTCCTGAGGAGCTCCGCATCCAAGCTCAATTTTGCCGTCTGGTGTCTAGAGACACCATCCCGGTTCTTACCGGGCTCCCAGCCCAGATTGACCGCTTTCTCTGCGCAACGTACCGCAGCAGCAGAGTGTTTAAAAACAGCTGGAGGGGGTGGCTCCCAGTGGTTATCCATAGTCTTCCCCAAAAATGCGTCTTGAGGGTAAGAACTGGAACCACCCGCTCGCTTCTTATCAGGGGAAGGTTGGCCCTGATAAAGATGACTTTTAATCTCACCATAAAGCCTGTTCATTAGTTTCTTTGACCCTTGATCGCATCGTTGATGGTAGAGCCAGATATTTTCAAGAGAATACTTCCAAAAATTAAGGACATCCTCTTTCTTGCATCGCTGGTCTACCAAGGCGGTGCACCAAGTCTCGAATGGAAGTGTCGAGAACGGTGCCTGCAAGGCCTTGGTCTGAAGCCAAATTATGCACATGGATATGACATTGTATCGTGAGAGCCTATTATTGACGGCTCTGATCCGACTGTGGAGAGTGTCTAGCCTCATTTTGCCAAGGTCGTTGAAGTCCCGAAGACCGTTGAATCCCACGATGCGTCGGAGATTATCGAGCGTGCAGTCTGGGCTATCCATTTCGATGATGATGCTTCTGGGAGACCAATGGCTGCACATGATGGGCATTTAAGCGTCCAAGAATAAGTGGCCGACTCTAAAGGGCTGCCAATAGCAAACAGCAGGGCGAATCGAGAGCGCAAACAATCCAAAGTCTTCTGAGAAAAAAAAAAGATTCAGAGGAGAAGGTGCGTGTGGGAAAGGACAGGGAGGGCTTTTGTTTGAGCTTCTGGAGGCAGTTGGCTGCCAGCCGGCAGACGGCCATTGCCAGTTGCTCTATACAGCATGAGAACTTTGACTGCTTGGTCCATACCTACCTAGGTACCTTGCATACTACTCTGAACATTGAAATATATATCAAAGATATTTCAGGTCCGATTGCACAACGGTTTGCAACGGGAGGCAAAGCCTATTAGCCCAGCAGAATGCTTACGTATCGCGCGCGATACTCTAGGATGCTTGGACATGTTGAACGTGTACTCATGCATCCGTACCTGGTGCCTAGTAGTATTCAACATAACAAGTGATGGGCACTTAATTATTTGGGTTGTCAAGCATCTTGCCAGAAGTTGACTGTATATAAAAACGAACGCTGTGAGCATAATGCGTCTGCAAGTGGTACAGCAACTACGTATACCTCCTTGTCTCTGCAACTACCCCGTACCATTCATCCGTCACCTCTTCTTCAAAGCTGCGAACCTCCTCTCCAAATCACTTATGTCGGGCACCGCCCCCTCGGGTTCCTTTCTACTGGCCGCCGCCTCCATCCTCTTATTCGGCTTCAGCTCGACCGACCCCAGTGTCACCTTGGGATGCACATTCTCCGTCGTCCTCCTTGGCGGCGTAACCGTCACCGGACTCCTAGGACCAGCAAAACCTTGCGGCGGGGTCGCCTTGTTCAGCTCCTCCTCCCCCTTGGACAGCTTCCTCCCAGTCGCTGACTGCTCCGCTGGTATCTTCTGGCCTCCCGACTGATTATCCTCGTCGCCCCCCTCATCGAAACCATCAATAAGCTCCGGCGGAGGCGTGACTTTCTCCCTCTTTGGCCAATCAACACCATACGCTCTCGCAATCTCTTCCAAGTATCCTTGTACGAGTTCCTGCTTTGGCGGCTCGACACTTAGTTTCTTGACAACCTTTTCATTCACCTTGCCATCCGAGTTATCCATGGCTGTGAGCACAAAGTCCTTGCCGTACTTCTCCCCGAGGAGCTGTCTAACTGTCGCGAGTTCCTTGATTTCCGTCTTTGGCGCAGCATAGATGATACTCTTGATGGCTTCCTCTAGGCCGGGATCGCACACGGAGCTTTCCATTAGTCCCGCACGGGCAAGCAGTAGTTCGCAGTAGAGCTCCAACATTTCGTGGAGCTCGGTTGTGATATCGGAGCGGATGATGTTCTCGACGCGAATGGTGGCGGAATCGATCTTGCCAGCTTCGAGAAGTTGGGCCATTGCCCGCTGCTGAGACTTGCCCAATTGTTCATCGCGCTGCTGGACCATTCGCAGTCGCGCGATTGCGAGCTTGAGCTGGACCTTCAGTTTGGTCTGCGACGGATCAGTGTTGGTCAGCTTCATGGCTGCTTGTTGCGTCACTGATGGATATGGCGGGGTCGTGGGAGGCTCTGGAGCTCACCTGGATGGATTGTGCAGGAGGCATAGCGGGCGACTTGGAAGGATGATATAAGTTGGAACTGTATCGGATTCACCGCTTGCTTGGCGCAAGATAACGGCGAAGAAAAAAGGAGTTGCCTAAATCACGAATGGAAGAGGTTGGATAAATCCAGCTCTGCTGCCTACCAATGTCACCTGCAATGCGAGAGAGCCTGTTGTGCAACACTGGTCAACCTGATGTCTGGAGCTGTTGGCCCGCCCCGAAGCTCATTGCGGGGCAGCTCTGCCCCACCACTATTTGCATCGTCTGGTGCGCATAAACAACCATGGTACGGCAAATGCAACTCAGTGCCATCTACACAGTTGCTTAGGAAGAACATTCTATTCATGTATATTCTTTTCAAACACTAGCCTCCGCCATACGGGGCCCAAAAGCTAAATCGAAACTGTTCTAATGTACTCTGCATGTAACAGATCGGTGACAATTCTGTGGTTCAACGGTATCATGCCAAATGGCAAAAGCAAAACAGAAAAGGGAGAATCGACATCCCTACCGTAACCACAGCTGTAATTTAGCTCCAAAGAATTATCATGAGTTTCCTTCATAGCCTTGTAACGCCTGTATCCAATGCACTAGGTCCTGGTACTACGACCGGCCTGTGCTATGCAGTATAATACTACAAGCCACGGTTTTTAGACACCGCGACAATCGATAGCATGCCTGACTGGCACATTTCCACCGCATACAACTCACTCCATATCTGTGTCTTCAGCAATAGCGGGTACACCGTCGACAGCCTCTCCCTGGAAAACTTTTTTTCCCTCATAAGTTACACGACGCCATCCACATGCTTCATTGCTGTCCTTGATCCATTCCATCGTGGGAAAATAGTGGTCGTTCTTCTTCATTGTAATTACCCACGGTACGCTATCAAACGTGACAGCCTTTAGGCGGAAGTCTATACAAAAGTCAGAATGCGGTGGTGTGTGCACGGCTCAGTGTAAGACCTACAGGTATTATCAGGGATTTTTCGGGTGGCAGCAATAAATGAATCCAGATCTGGTGTAGACTGGCCGTTCACATGTGTGATGAAGTTGGTAGGTGCAACACCATACTGATAGGCTGGCGAGCCGCGGATTCTGCTAGACACATACACCTCGCTGTGAAGTTTGCTAATCTGTTGGCGAACAGCTTGATGAGGACGATGTAGAATGGCACCGCAAAACGACACGGCATGGTCGGTCTCAATGTCATCTGCGGGGACGGTGACCAGCTGCAAGGGCATCTCTTCGCACTCTCGGACAATGACGGCATCGAGAACTTCATTAGAATACATGACGTCAAAGTCAGAGATTGTGGTGCAAATTTTGCCGTTCAAAGTCAAAATGATATCGCCTTCTAGCAGAGAAACTGGCTGGTTGACCCTTTCAAAAGTTCGTTTGCTGACCATGAAGAGCTGGTGGTGAGATCGGTTGGCCTGCGTCACCTTCTTAATCCAGTCATCGGAAACACCCATAACAGACGCCTGGGACATTTGGATCGCCCTGAACTCGACCGACAGTAACCGCAGTCTCGGCGATTCGCCCCTTTGAATGGTAGAGATGACAGGCAGCAAGGTTGGCGTCCCCAGTCCGAGATAGTACTCTTCATCTCGTTGGCTGCAGGGAGATCGCTCGCCAAGGTATGAAAGCCACAAAGCCTGAACAGTTCCATCAGGAGCGACTAAAACACCACTGTTGCAAGTAGAACCGAGGTTGCTGTCAATAGTAATGGCATCCACATTGATTGCACGGTAACGAGGAGCGCCGGAGTTGGCCGGAATGGCGACAGCTGTGATTTCAGTGACGGTTGTAGCACCGTGCACAACACGACCGATTCTGTTGTGGCCCAGGAAGTAAGTCTTGGCACCTTGGCTGAGGTGCTCACTGCTCAATCTAGCACTCTTAACCGGAGCATCCACAAGAGCTGGGTCATATTGGATGATGACATAGTTCTGAAGCGGGTGCAGGAAAACAACTTTGCCCTCCACAATGATGGAGTCTGCGATGGTGACAGTAATGTCACATAGATCATATGGGACAATAGCTCTCGAAATTAAAACGAGACCCTTTTCAGCGTCGATGACTAGACCCATACCCCATCTTCGGTTCTTGGGAAATCCATCCAACTTTACCGGCATGGTGCAGTTTACGTGAACAAAGCTTTTAATCAGCTCTGCGATGCCAGGATGAGGCATGTGATCTAGTTCGATGAAAGATGCCGAACGACGAACTGGCGGAACCGGTGGCAGCGGGTCTCCCAAGTCGGAAAAGTCCCAGAGGCCCGTTTTGTCATTTCGAACCGCCTGTTTCATCTTAGACGACCAGTGTCTGTCCACGTATACAACGGTCGTGTTGAGGGTATGTAAGTCACGAAGGTGCTTGTATGTGACCACCACTCTTGCTTTATCAGGAATTGCCTTGACGACTTGGATGAACGTGTCGAGGTCAGGAACTTTCTTGTGATCGATGGTTTGAACAATCCAGCCGTTATCCGTATTATCAACCCTGAAAGACCCGGCAGATTCACAAACATATACGCCCTTGACGGAAACGGCGTAGAGACGAGCCTGTTGGTAGGACAAATTGTGAAAACTCGCGCCAGCGACCGAGACAAAGCGGTCGGGGGTGATGCTGTGCAGGTCCCCAACCTCGATTTCCACCTCGATGTCCTCGCCGCCACGCTGCAGTTGAAACTTGATCGACTCGCCTACATTGGAGTCCAATATGTCGTCGAGCCTGATGAACTGGGTAATGAGCTCCCCATTCACCTTGACAAGGACGTCACCTTCCTCGATTTTGCTGTCTGATGGCCCAGATGGCAGAACGATCTCGGCAACAAGCATGTTTGTTTCATCAGGGAAGGCTTTCCGCATCTCTGCCTCCCATTCAGGTTGCAAACCCAGTCGACGGCACTCATCAAATGGCTTCAACAGAAACTGACACTGGATATCGCCACGTGTCACGGGTTTTCCCTGTTGGATACACCGAAGAGCGCGCAATGGTCGATCAAGTGGTAGGAAGTAGTCAGTCGAAGCACCATCGGAGCGGCCACCAGCCTGCAGAGCAACAGCAGAACCATCTTTGGCTACAACGGGACTACCGGAGCTACCACCACTGGCAGCGGCATTGGCCTGGTAGTAGCATGTATTGAAATCGCTGTAGCCCTCCCCGTATTCGGGAGCGTTTCGGTCAAGGCGGCTGATCACGCCTGACAGGATGCTAAGCTTTTCGCCGGCATCGTTACCAACTACTCGGATTTCAACGCCAACTGGTAGAGGATGTCAGTCCACTTTCCAACAGCCTTGTTCACCTATTGCAAGAAGAAACAAACCTTTGGCCTGGTCGGGACGTAAATCTAAGCCATCAACGAGCATATACTTGATCGCTTTGGGATCGTATCGAAGAATACCGAAATCGTGTACGGGGTCGCGGTAAACGGGATAGCAATCCACTTCTTCGTGATTGTCAAAGACGCAGTGCCCCCAAAAAGGTCCAGCGCCAACGACATGCCGGTTTGTAAGGATATACCTAGGTTTCCGTTAGCATACGCGAATGAATAAAAAAATTACATGGGCAAGTGCCTGGCCACTATTTGGAATCGCATACCCTCGCTCCGAGTCCACGACGAAACCGGTAGCCTCACTCGTCAAAGCTGGATCGGTATCGAAAGAACAGGTTTGGCAAAACCGAATTGCGACAACGTTCCGCACAACCTTTTGAATTGTGTCCTGCCAATCGCTCAAGCTTCCAGGGGTGCCTATGTACATGGGAGCACCGGTGTGAATGTCATCAATCTCTGACTCGCCGTCGTATTGTACAATCTCGGCGACATCTGGAGTATTATCACCAGGGGACAGCTTGCCGTTGGTGATTCGCTTAGCCAGTGGTGAATTTTCGGGGGAGATTTGGGCCTTTCTCTTGCCTCTCGCTGAGGCTGCTGTTCCATTCATGCCGGGCAGCATTTTTTAATATGGACATAGGAATCTTGCGACTGTGTCGTTGCAAGAGACCAGGAGAGAAAGGCTGGAAGAAGGCGAGTTGAGAAAGTAAGACCGCTTTCTAGTATCTAACAGTAATAGTTCTCAGATGGTAACTTGTTTGCTGCAAACTCGGATGTTGCGAAACCAGCTCCTTCCTAATGAGACGTCGGCTCTGGGGGAAAGGAGGAGACAGTGGGCTCGTGATTTTCGGGATGAAGTTGGCAATCGACAGGGTGTGACGATGCATCCAAATACGAAGGAGTAGCGAACTGGAAGCGGAACAACGGTTGGAGCGGCTCGAAATGGTCGCCAGCTAGGGAGAGGGCTGGTGGATGGACAGTCAGTCCATGTGATGTGAGGATATATAGCTTTTGGGATGAGGAAAAGAACAAAGTGTGGATCAGCAGGATAATTGTTGCAGCCCACACATCCCATCAGGGTGTGGCACCTTGGTACTCGGGTACGTGAGTAGTGCAGGGAGTGACCTGGACCAGTTCAGTTAGGCCAGCGATGAGTGCGGAAGGAGCAACCCGTTGCAGGGGACGGGGAATGGGGTTGCGAGCGATTGTCTCCCTGCTAGACCCAGTAGGTGTGCAAGCCCGTGACACCTCTCCTTGCTGTATTTGTGTTGCTATATGGATAGATCTTGCTGGAGAAAGCTACTCAACTTTCACATTGCTCTCGAAGGGGCTCATGGCTGCAATCGCCACTCTCGCCGAGTGCTATTAATATCTACCCGTCGTCATCTTTGAAAAATTGCCCTTCAACCTCGTAGTTGTAATGCTCCGTCTGCTCTGCAAACCCGTATCCCGAACTACGGCAACCCCAAGAATCGCCACCATAATGGCGCTGCATGAGAGTCAATCTCGTGACAGTGTTGGAGATGAGATGCCGCTGCGATCCAACGTAATCTGGACAGGAGAAGACGGGAGAAACCAATGGCCATCATATTAAACATGCCGATGATAAGGACCGCTTAGAGGAACCTGAGGTCAATCTTAGTCCATCGTTTACGGACTTGGGCTTGCCAGAAGACAACGCCGAGCAAGATATCTCTGGCAACTTCTGCCTAGCACATCTGAAGCTGCGGGATGCAATCCAAGCCCTCAAAGAGGACATTGGCTACACCGACGGCCTCTGGGGTCTTTAGGATGAGCGCGCCGACCACGGCGGTAGCGATAAAGACGATGCACTGACAGCAACAGTGCCCGAAACGGTGAACATGCCCGCACGAGAGCGAAAGCGGCTTATTCTCAGCATTTGAAGATTCAAGAAAAGCGTTGGGCGTTACTTATTGCGGGGGCTATGGACCACTATGAAGCTTGGTGGAACAACTTTGAGCATGACATGTTGACTGAGGAAGAGATGAAACTTTTCCATAGGTCCTTGGTGACTGGTTCCTCGGATGTTAATTAATAGTGCAAGCACTACATTATCAGGTAATACAATGTGTCTGCCGTACCCAAGCCGGAGAACCGTAACAGACCACGTAATAAACACACCATGAACGCATCGCGATGCGTCGAACACTAGCAAGATTGGTGATTCATCGCTGCGCGCCGTCCAAGGCTATCTCGCGATAGCCTCGTGACAAAAATTAATATTATATAATTATACAGTATCCTGCATTTAACCACCCCCCCCCCCCCCCCCCCCCTTTTTTTTTTTTAACAGTTTAATAATAATCATATAGTATACAGCTCTGTTTACTTGTAGTAAATTGAATTGGATATATTTATAGTATTCTAATAGTTCTAAGCGCGAACACTTTATTTATCAAATAAGTAGGGTTATCTAGAATCTGGTACGAACCAAACCAAATGCCAAAGGGACACCCCGGACACGGTCCAGGATGACTGGGCTCCCCACGACCACCACCATCAGGCTCCTTCATGGACTCGTGAACAAGCACCAATCCGTTGTGGAGCCCACTAAGACTCCTCCTCCAACCTCTACCATCAGCTGTGTGAGGCAGTCATGAATTAGAGGCAGGCTGACTGCGGATCCGTTGGAATATGACGTTCAGAGTCCACAACTTGTCCAATATACTTCAACTGCTCTTTGCCCTCCTTTATAGTCTTGTCGATGATATCATTTTCTATACCAAGGCAACCAGCCTTTTCGTCAAAAGGAAGCGCGCACATGTGCATTAGCTGAACCGTTGTTAAGCTAGGAAGGGATCTGGGAATAGCTCACGTCGCTAAGAAGAGCAACTAGTTCTTCGGCGTCTCTAACTCTCATCTTTCCGAGAACTCTGTTGACTTCGTCAAGCGAGCCAGTTTCCAGCGCAGCTCTCATGTCGGGGCTAAACTGCTCGAAAACTGCGCGGGCCTTCTTTTCGTCGTCGTGCTCAGCGTCGGGCCGGGGAAGTTGGAACCCTGATTTCAATTATCGCGTCTTTATCCATGGCGTGAATTCGAATTTGCTCTACGTCTTCATCTTTTGTAGCACACTGCTTCGCGTTTTCTTTGGCCAGCTGTCGGATACGTTGAAATCGTTCGTCAACATCCTTCGTAAAAGCCTCTTGGGCGCGATGTCCTGGTGAAGCCGGCAGATGCAGTTGGCGCGTAATGAAGAAAGGCCGCCGTTGAAATGGAAAAACAGACGGGCTCTGGCCGTGTATAAAAGGCAATGCTGATTCCAGTTTATTTTACACGACGTCGAGGAGAAATACACCGTCCTTCCTCTTGTTCACCTCTTTACGAATCTCTACTCCCATTATACGCTTTTGCCTCACCGTTGTCAACCCAACTTCCAAAAAATCTCGGGACACTGTTCATCTTTGTACTTCGCGCACAGAACTCAGATATCAGGGCGGAGACTTGGTTAGCACTCTTTGCTTACAATGCTAGATTACCCGAGTCCTCACCTGTCACTACCCTGGCAAACTTGCAAGTTACAACCCTGTGGTGCCTGTTTTGCTTCAAGTGTCTGGTCATGTTCCGTCCGAGCCGCATCAAAAAGCAACAACGAAAAAAAGCAAAAGAAACACACGGAATCAAATCACAAAATTTCTTGTTCCAGGTCCAAAGGACTTCGTATTGTGGATGCCCGTGGCTCAACATTTCCTTTGTACACCAGCTCCCCGCCTCGACGACCAATGTTCAACGCCAGGGCTACTCCAGGGACAACATCAAAATACACTTTCGCCCTCAATGTCTCTACAATCATGCTGCCTGTTGGTGATTGCCTCTCGCTTTCATCAAGCTGACGGCTGTCAAAAATGCCAAATTGTGGTCATTAGGCAACAGTGCACCAAGCTAATGCAACATCGTCGACGACCCGGTGACCCGGACGGTAATCAACAATATTGAACAATGCGAGGCGTGCAGTCGTGCTGCATCATCTTTGTGGCCATTGGAGCTGTCACGCGGCATTTGGTGCAAGCACTGCATTTGGACTTGGCCTGGCTCGTCCAACCTCAAACCTCAACACCATACAATATATTTTGACCGATTACTCCACGCAATCGAAAAAGACGTGGCGCCACCGCATGGCCACACTTCAGGGCAGGGAGGGGACGAAAGACACTTTATTCCCGACAAGCGCGCTTTGTCTTCTTTAACGCCATGGGCAGAAAACTCAAGTATCCCCGGCCGTCTGTGTCTCAGTCCGTTCATGAATCCCCATTGGGTTCGTTGTACCTTTGTCATGCGCCATTGTTTACAGCATATTACGGAGTAAGAGACAAGACCATCTCAATAGTTGACATCAACATAGCACCCGCGTGCTGCAATGTGCCAGCATATACCCATCTGTTGCCGTAGCACCTTGTGGTATGCTCTGACACGGTAGAATACACCAAGTTATTTGCCAGCTTCTACACTTACACCGAGCACAGAGACTATCACGCAAGACCGAAAAGCCCAAAACTTGGGAGCGAAGGCGCTCACAGCATCATCTACCGATCACTAGGCTGCTAATTGACACCCACGTTCTCCCAACGATAGATCAATGATGCACTTTTCTTCTCATTCGCAGAAACCTGTTTTGCAACTCGACTGCATCCTAACGACATGCAAGACTATGTATGCAATTCCCGTCCTCGTCACAAACCCCAGCCTTTCATCAAACCAAGGTGCGACGGCCCATCGATGCCGCCCTGTACGAATCTGTCGCGCGATAATATGGATACTTTTTCGTCCCAATAGCAAATACTGCTCTGCCGAGCACATGGCAACTCAAGCTATCAATTCTCGGCTTGCGCGTCGACTTATCCCACCCTGACCCAGATCATCCCCCAGTGAAGCAACCATTTTCTTCGTAGCTAATTGAATTCATGAGCTCGTGTCTACAATACAACATTCATAGGTCCACTTCGGGCTCAGGCTTCAACACCATGTCTTCTTCGCCGTCCATGTCTTCGGCTCCTTTCTTGAGCTTCTTGGCACTACCGCCCCTAGAAGTGCCTATACCAGAATTAGTCCCAAGTCCCAAGTTGCCCATGACCAAAAACAGTGAGGACTCACAGGCGCGTTTCTGGGGCACCGCCTTCTGAGGAGACTTGGCCGGGGTCGAAAGCTCGTCCTCATCGTCTGAGGCTGCAGTACCTTTGCTTCTCTTCGGGGTCCTCTTGCGAGCTGCCAGCTTATCAGTCATCAAGTCACGATTCTCCACGCCAAGCCAGCAACGGGGGAAACATCCCAGGACGGTTTATTTTTTCAAAGAGGTGGAAAACAAGAAGGAGGTGGAAACAAGATAGAAGCGTCAACAGAAGAAGAAAGGAAACAGGGGGGGAAACCCACGAGTAGGCCTTGTAATTGGCGCATCGCCGCTCTCCGCCTCGACCTCCGCAATCATCTTATTAATCTTCGTCCACATATTCTGCATAGACTTGACAGTGCGGCCTGGCATGTCAATCTTCTGCCAGTTGATGGACCGTCCGTTCTCACGAAGCTGAGCGACAATGCGGATGAGGAACTGGAACTGTATATCGTCAGTCGCAGGTGCAGGTCGAGGCCGAAATCCCGGCGTGATGCTCATATATCTCGGAATACTACTCTTCCGCGTGCGTCTCGATAATAGACGGGTTCCTATTGTGACATCACCCGTTCATTGGCCCCTTTGCCTCATTCACCCCTTGTATCAATGAGTGGAAGCAACAGATGACTTACTTTGGCTTCTTCGGTCCAGGGAAGGGCCTTGCCGTCGACTTTGTCACCGTTCGGATCCATTTTGAGTTCAGAGAAAAGGAGTTTTGTCAAGGAGTTGTTGTGTAGGAGATGGAAAAAGAAAAGTCTATTAGATGAATGTTTGACGGAGTCGCAAATGATAAGGCAGAGATGACAGGTAACGAGTAGGAAGGTCTAGGGATGAGCTGCGAGGGAAAAGAGAAAAGCGGAGAAGATGTGAGCTCCTTCTATGATGTGCACAGCTTACATGGCAGCCTGCTAGGTGTTCCGTGGTTGAAGTCAAAAAGTGATTAAAAAGTGAGTTGATCCGCAAGCGAGCGGTCCTGGCGAACATCACAACAGGGCCACACCACGTGGTCAGCGGAGTCAATATTTTTTACTTGTTGAAACAACAAACGTGTTCATGCACTGTCATAGTCTTGGTCATTGCTGCTACTTGGGCGGCGTCTCTGCTCTGGTAAAGTGGGAGGCAAGAAGTAGTGGGCTAGATCTTGTATTGTGTTGACGACAAGTATCCATGGATATCTACCCTACCTAGGTGGGTAGATAAACATGTCTTGGGAGAGCCGTGTATGAAAGTTCTCATGACACTCCGCCTGCATGTACGGCCACCCCTTCTATGCCTGAAGCTCATCGCAAGGAAAATACCTCTACCAGTCCATGGGTATCGTTTATTTCCAGGGGAGTATTCTCTCTTCCCAACTCCCAAATACACAATAAATGCGACTATACCATCTCGCGCCAAGTATAAAAGAATTGCAATCCGATCAAAAATACCCAGGCTCAAGCGCGACTGTCCTTCATCTTCTCTCTAAACGCCATAAATTCTCGCATCCGTGATTCATGCTCCTGACAGACACTCGTCCATTGTCGTCGCACATCGTTATCCTGCTGAACCCAGCTATAATACGCTTGTAAATCAGCATCTCCCCGAGCTGCCAAAAAGCCATAACCCTTGCTTGCTCTCGTGTTCTCAATCAGCAACTTTCTAGTAGCAAAATGATCGACAACCAGCCCGTTGAACGTGTCCCATTGCCGCAAGTAACTTTCAAATTCGGTAACATATTTCATCCAGGAGGCAGTGTTTGGTTTCATCCCGTCGATAGCGACTGTGGGAGGTAGACGGGGTGCCAGGGGGACTGAAGGGAACTCCAAAGGCACAGGTCTTGGTACCTTGACTCGTGGACCGTCAGATGCTTTGCTCTCGAAAGGTAAATTATCCCTCATTCCGTTGAAGGACTCGAGACCTTCTTTTTGCTGAGAGAAGGGCGGCACGTTCTTAAGGTCTGCAAAATTCGCCCTAAACTCTTCACTATCTTCTGAGCCCGCAGCATTTTCATCCAGGGGAACTTTTGCCGGTCGCTGTGGCTTCTCATCGTTAGCCATGCCGCCGGCTGCTTTCCCGGCACGCCATTCTGGTCGAGATGGCTCGACTGGGATGTTTCGTGCCGTTTGAGTTGCAGATGCAACAGAGGACATCGGCGAATCGATATCCATAGCCTGCGGGCTGTCAGTCGCCGGCGCCTGCCCTTGCGCCTGTGCATTTCTTCCGCGCCATTCGTAGGTCTCGTCTTCGCTACTGCTTTCTTCAACTGTCGCTGCTGTCCCTGCCGTCGGCCTAATCTTTGTTTTCCTAGAGTTGGTGCGGCTAGCGCGTGTTGGCGAAGCAGACGGGCCAGGTTGTGGCTGTGGGACAAACGTCTGAGCATCGAATTTGTCGCTCCATCCATCGGGATTAAAACCACTCTCGACCTGCGTAGCACGAGAGGTTGTATTAGCACTATCACTAGGGCGCGTGGTTGGACGCTTGACCGCCGAGCGACGAGCTCGTTGAGTACGCGGAGAGGGCATAAAACCCACATTGGCGGCCTCTTCAGTCGTGCCGGCATTGAACTGATAAGTGTTCGAGTTGTCGTCCTTGACAAAACTGGTATTTATGTCATCAAGACTACTCTTCGCGAAGCCATGTCCGCCAGGCGCGTTTGGAGTCTCTGCAAAAGTGTCATCGTTTATAGGGAAGTTGAAGCTATGTGATCGGGTTCGGTTAGCCGCTTGTACATGTTTCGATGTATCTGTGTAGTTATCCGTCGACAAAATGTATCCTTTTTCTTCGGAGAGCCATGGAAGACCTTCCTTATTGTTGATAAGCCTATTCAAGATATAGGTCTGTTGACGCTCAAACGACAAAAGTGTGACACTGCCACCTTTTTTCCCACTCGGAGACCTTTGTTGACACACGGTTCCTGAACTATCAAGACCGGCTGTCGGAGATGTCCACGCCATCCCGGGTTTTGTGGAGCTTGGATATGTGGAAAAGATTGACACTTTACGACGGTGGTGATAAAGAGGAGTTTCATACATTGTAGGTTCATCCTTGTTGCTCGTTGCTAATAGTGCGTAAGCTTTGGTGTATTGCAACATGTCATACATGCGAGAATAACTTACGATTATCCTCCATAGGAGATTTGGCAGTCTCGTTTGCAGGAACGGCGTCGAATCTCGCGTCCGCCCGTGACTTAGAGGACGTATTGGTATACGTCCCCGTACCCTCGTCCGCACTTTGAGAATGTTGACTTCCATCTTTCGGTACTCGAAGATTTGCATCCCGCTCTTCTTGAGACGGTCGTCTTGGAACACCGTAGCTGCGCTGATTGTCATCTGAAGCAGATCCCTCGTCAGCATGGTTGCCATCGCGAACGTTCTTAGCGCGGCCTAACGGCACCCCGGCAAAGGGATCTATCTTTTCCCCTCCACGAGAAGTGTAAGGCGTACCGTGACGTGAATCAGACGAGCCGCCTTTCTCCCTAAACTGGCTTAACGGATCGGACATTGGGTTTGGCACTGGCTTTCGATGTGGGGGCTGTGGTACATTCCGTCGTTCAGAATTGGTGTAATTTGCGTTTGATACAGGGGGCTCGTCTCCAGGCATAGTCGACCGAGGATAGTAGCCAGACTTCCTGGAGCCGAAAGAGGCTTCCTGTCGTTGTCTCGCCGATTCCGTTCTTGGTGGTTGTCGTGGAGGCGGTGGCGGCGGCTCAGATGGACGAGGTTCGCCTCGTGCATTCTTGCGCATGTTCTCAAACGCCTTGGCAGCGTTCTTTTTCGCATTTGGATCGGATCCAAAAGTTTGTTTTGCCGTGGGAGGCACCCCGCTCGAGAATCTTGTCTGCCACCGCTGTGCTCCTGAGGTTGCGTTTCTCGCGGCCGTTGTTCGTCGTGGAGGCGTGGGAAACTGTTGGCCAACATCGGCCCAAGGGTTTCCCCTCACACCTGAGGCCCCAGGATATCGGCTTTTTCCCAGAGTAGCGTCATATTTTGCCTTTGAGGTTGGATCCGAGAGGATCTCGTGAGCCTCTTGAATGGTTTGAAACTTGGCAATAGCTTCGTCTTCGTTGCCACTATTCCTATCGGGATGATATTTTAACGCTGCATCATTGAGTCAGCATGCTTTGAAGCAAGGAGATTTCGTTTTTGTTCCTCTGGTGTGGCGTATTTCTCCTCACCCAACTTCCGATACTGCTTCTTGATTGCTTCAATGTCCGCATCACGCGGCATCCCAAGGTCGGCGTAGTAATCCTTTTGGGCTGCCATTGAAGAAGTTGTTGGCCGATTCCTACAGATCGTAAACGGGGACACTGAAGTCGACTTCCAGCAGGCTTTTCTCAATCAACATGACAATGAAGGGTTGTCTATCGGGTGTCGACGTCCTTGGACTGGTGGTGGTGAAGCGCTGGGTCGACCCTCCCTCCGCGCAGGGCGAGCGACAAAGCCACTCGAGTATGAGACCAAAAGGTAATTAATCTAATAAGTAGAGCTAAAAGTAGTCAGTAACCATACAATCGGGAAGATAGACGACAAAGCGAGCTTTGATCATCCGCCGAGCCTGCAGGTCGAATGTTTCGGAAGGCCTCCCAGTCCGAGTCGAAGTTAAATGCGCAGCTTACCCAAGTTTGCGAAGTTGACGTCAGCTTGAAAAAATAACGCAGGAATAGCGAGACCAGGGCTGTATCTTGAAATATCATGGGAAGTGCAAAAGAGACCAAACAGAAAGAGAAAGCACAAGGTTAGGAGAGTCGAGGATCGAGAGGGCTTCCGTGAAAGTATTCACGTTGGTTAGTTTCGCATAAATACATACGTTGACAGGGACCAGCGGACTGGACCTAGGGAGGATGCGGGACCAACCAAGGTGTCTGGTACACAAAATCGCACTTGCACTTGCATGTGGTCCCCGCGGTGACGCAGCGGGTCGTGGGTTTTTTACTGGCACCGCTGCAAAGTTGCTCCATCAAATCTGGGAATCTTGAATGTGGCCGAGTACTTGTTAGTTGATGAATACGCACGTCATCACAACTCGATGGCTCATTGTACAACATTATTCTGTCCATACGGAGCATCCAGGCTGCTACGGACGCACGTAAATACAGAGTGAACGGAACATTTTCTGGTTTTGGCAGTGAGTCAGCACCCGAGCGGCCTCCGCCACGATCCATTTCAGCAAACACTCTCGAGGCATATTGAACATAGAGTACGAGGCTCAAGCGAGACACGCCAAACGTCGACTGCGTACGCAAGCAAGTGCCACCGCAACGTCAGTCATATGGTCCCATGTCCCTTGTTCCAATCCGATCATCAATCCCTTGACGGCGTTTCATGTCGCCTTGTCGTTGCTATTTTCGGGGACCATGTCCCTGTCAAAGTAGCTGGTACGTGAGTACTTTGTACCTGATACTTAGAATGCCCTTCAAAACGCGGCGACGTTGACAGTCAAGATATCTAGATCATATGCAGCTCAATTCTTGGCGCGCTTCTCTTGTTGTAAGCTAAAAAACACGATCCTTCACTGCAATGGCGCTCAAGTTTGCGTGATACTTGCTTGTTTCCAGCCAGGATTTAAACGACCCGGCCATATGTACCTACCCGAGGTAGACTCAAACCAACAGTCTCATGTCAACTTCCAACAAGCAGCTAGTGTTGATTATCAAAAAAAAAGCCCACCAAAAACACCCTCACATACAATACAAACTCCAGGTGCCGGTCAAGCGTGTCTACATTAAGCTGCCGTCGAAACCCCAAAGAATGATATTAAGCCACCATTATTGGCCGCAATGGCTTTCCCCTAACGCTGGTGGTCAAGTGACAACATAACCGAGTGAATTGGATCGCTGGAAACAAAATATATTCGTCGTACAAAGTATACCATCTCTTTCAGGCCCATATCGCCCCTCTTAGTTCTTTTTCTCCGCCGCAATCTTCGCTTCCATCTTTCGCCGCGCTGCTAAAATCATCTCGTCTCGTCGTTTCTGCAACGACGCCTGGCGTTCGTCCCGATTCGAACTCCACCCTTTCGGTTTGGTGTCCTCCTCAAATGCTGCTTCAGTAATCTTGCTCTTTAGGTTATACCGCGTTATTAGGTCTGGTTGTGATGGCTTGTCGGCTTGTCTCGTCGCAGAAACAGTGCTTGCTCCGGCCGTAGCCTGCCCTGGCGGAGGGGGTGGTTGGAAAGTGACAGGAGGCTATTTCATACCCTATGTTAGCCCATATCCCCAGATCCCACACCCAACCCAGATGCTATTGACAAAGGATGTCCGGTGCATCAGTAGATGAGAATGGTGTGCTTACCATCTCAAGCCGCCCAGCCAAGATTCGCTCCGTGGTATTTTGAATACTGCCCCCATTACGCTGTAAATCCCACAGAATTCTCCGTCTTTCCGCCTGGGGGAACATCTGTTGTATCCGCTCTACCGCCGTTTCTCTTGATCTCCGTATGTCCTCAGGTGACCTTGTCGGTCGGGGTGTCTGCGTCCCGGAAAAGAACAGGTATCGTATTATGAGCCCCGAAAGGAGTAGAATTCCTGCCAGGTATGGCAGCGATATTTGTTCATTGGCCATGCTGGGTCGCGGGAGGCCTGTGGGCGGAGGAACGAAACGGTGTTACTCGCCAGATTGGTTTGCCCAGTCAGGTCGAGTGGCAAAAGTATCTCGCGTGAGACTTATGCCGCAGCGTCGTGGTGGTGCTAGTTTAGTTGATAGCAATGAACAACTAGCAAGCCACTGACCGTTGTGCCCTTATAGGTCGACAGATCGATGATTCGTGGATAGAAATGAAGGAGTGAGGTCTATAGAGCATGTGATGTGAAGTGGTCGGACCACAAATGTTCCGTGCCAAAGGAGCCTGCTGCTATTGACAGTGCGTGCCCAGTGTTGTCTGGCTTGGTCTGGTGGTGGAACCTCGGCTAATAATTAATAACTGGCTCCATGTCAGAACCACCAGAAGGCATGCGACACTCTTTTTTGTTATCATACCCGTATAACGTCCGGAGGCAACAGAGGGTACGCGGCAGCCCGAGAAATATTTTCTCATATTATAACCGACATCTTTGAACCTTAAAAAGTATGCTTCGTGGCAAGCATCGCTACATCACATTCACCTCACTAGCTGCTCGTAGCAATTCCCTGAAAAATTGCCCAGGAACGTCATATGTTGCGGGGCGGCAATCGTATGCTTCATATGCCATAAATATGGCAAAAAAAACCTGCCGATAACAACCTGATAATGCATTCCCAGCCCTCCGGCCACCGAACCAAGTTCATATGCCGCAAAGAACCATTGTCCCCGTTCTTTGTGGCAGAACGCCGAGCTGTCCTAAGGACCAGCTATGAAGCAAACCCGAATTTCACTGCATCAACGCACGCCATCCTCCGTCACCCGTACCCTAGCTTAAGATATTGCAGGCGGTTGGTTCAATGTAGTATCCAAGTCGCCGTAGAACAGAGTGAGCTCTCGCTAGAACAACCCAAGTTAGCTGTCAACGTTCTAAGCCGTGGAAGCTGTATGAAGTCATTTACCCTGTCCTTTCGCCAGTTGTCTGTATCCCACACAATATAGAATCCCCGCTCATGATTTGGGCTCAAGATCTGAGGCGTCATGTGTTCATCTTTGGTGAGCCATATCTGATGTTTCTTGTGCCATCTCCAGTTTCGAGAATGCCTACGCAGGTTTGTTAACCCAAGGTACACACCAAAACTACTGTTCCGGAGTTTCGACGTACAATTCTACCGCTGCCATTTGCTGTTTGACATCCGCTGGACAGCTATAGAATATCCAAAACAGTGTTTCTTCGTTGAAATTTTGAATTTTGCTTTCAATTGGCTGAACGTTCGTCACATTGTAGCACTCTGGAAGTCGGAACTTGCTACCATTAACTGTCGGCCGAGGGGGGGCATCGTCAAAGAGCGAGTAGACTTGTGTCGAGATCATCCTGGGCTTTGTTAGTGAAACCAACTGCGCAATTGGAAGCTGGAACATTCTCACTCTTGAGAATTGATATCAAGTCCAACGGTGATAGGATCCATGCCAACTACCATGGCCTGGTAATCCGGGTAGCTGTTCATTAATGTCCGCAGTCCTTTGATTCCCCATTTGTCTACAGCACTCATTCCACCAAGAGGATCCACCGCTTCCGGGGCCTTGTTCTCCTTCACATCTCGTAATTTTGCGATCGAGTCCTCATTTCCGATTGCCCCTAGGGGATTTTGATTCGTGTCACCAACAGTAGATTTGCCTAAGCCGTCTTCCCTGGAAATGGGTTTTTGTCTGCTATCGTCGTCGGCTCCCAGCCGCTTCGGGTCTTGGCCGCGGTTTAATGCTACAGGTATCAGCTCGCTTGGTCAACCTCATCCGAGAGGGTCTTGGTTAACGACTCACCAACTCCCGGAGGCGACCGCGCATCGTTTGCCCGACTGTTGGCGGACAAAGCATTTAGAAGGCCATTACCCCTCTGCGCTCCTGACGCTCCTTGTTGCGATCCGAATGCCAATGACATCAGATTTCCACTTCGATCCGACCCAATCTCCCCATTTCCAGCTCTATTCAACGGAGGAAAATCATCAACGCTACTTGGCTGTCCTTGGGAGGCTGTCGTCATATTCCCTTGGTTACCAAATCGAAAGGAGGTTTGGTGTGAAGGCAAACGCGATGAGCCTGATGCGAATAAATCATCCTGGCCTCCTTGCTGAGATGAGAGGGGAGTTGATTGATTTCGTTGAACAGGCCCACTCAAGTTTCGGGATGCTCCCGTCGACCACATCGATGCAGGGTTGGCATTGTTGAGCTGTGAATTATTTGACAGCGACGGGAATTCGCTGTAAGAATTGTCAGCACGTGTCCCCTTGAAGGAAGAGGTATCACGTCATGGTGACAACCCAAAAAAAGAAAGAAGGAAAGAAAAAAAAAACAGGTTTACCCCTTGACAACGGCGGCATAATCCCAGGTTGGTGTTTGTGCTAGTGATGGCCTTAGTCCAGCCAGCCCGCTGCACACGCCTGGCATGGTCTGCATGTTCAGAAGGCAACAAGATGAGGTAAAAGACAGAAGAAAATCCAAATCAGGTGGGATTGGTTATGCAGGATGGAAATAGTGAACAAGAGGTGAGAAGACAATTGGAAAGCACGTACTTCAAGTCCAACGGAGTGGCAGGTTGCGACCCGCTCAAGCTCTGCGCAAAACTGACGTTTCCTCCCATTTGCCGGACTTGGTTTTGGAATCCAGCACCTCCCATCGGTACATTCCCACCGAATGCCCAGCCTGACCCGTTGTTTGCTAATTTCGTAAATGAACAGTGTCAGCCTTCCAGGTCGTGTGATCGACGGCCGCAGCTTCTTATCGCTGGTGCAAAATCATACCTAGCTTCCCGTTTGGTAGCCGGCTCGATACCGATCGTCCTGGTAGTTGAGGCTGTTGCTGACCGCCGGAATTGCCGGGCATGCCTCTGAGAGACTGCGGCACCGTTCCTAGTTCCAATGTATCGAGTTAGTCTGGTTCCTTGACAGCATCGTTTTTGTTGCCTAAGCAGAACGCCATAGCCTCTCAATGTTCAAAGGCCAATGCGCCAACTGTTGACTATACGCTGAGAGAGCTCAATGCCTTCTAGTACGATATGATTGGGGCTGTTGCCGCCCGCCGAAATTGCCGGGCATGCCTCTGAGAGACTGCGGCACCGTTCCTAGTTCCAATGTATCGAGTTAGTCTGGTTCCTTGACAGCATCGTTTTTGTTGCCTAAGCAGAACGCCATAGCCTCTCAATGTTCAAAGGCCAATGCGCCAACTGTTGACTATACGCTGAGAGAGCTCAATGCCTTCTAGTACGATATGATCGTCAATCGCTTGATGGTCATTGATAGCCCAATCTTGGCTCTTTGCAGGGTAATAAGTAGCCAGGAAAGATATAGCAACTCCAATCCAAGTATCGGACGAAGGGAATCCCCGTCATACACCAACTATCATAGCACTCTGACCAAAGACGGGGCCGGGCGACGCAACGAGGCGGCAGGATTGAAGCTGGTGCGGAAGGAGACTTGGGCATGTCCTACCTGGCCGATTCATGATGTCTTCGCAACCGCGTGGAACCAATACTATAATTCGCGTCGCAGAGAATTCTGTATTTGATTTGGAGGGCGTTGTTCGTCTGGTATGTAACGTGTGCGTTGCTTTCGCAATTCAAAGGTTGAAAATGCTTGGTCCTCGATCTTGTGATGGAATCGATATTCAGGCTAACAAGGCTAACCCACGAGGTCGCTGGCCGGATTCAAGTGGGTCCGTGCCGAAGGCGGCTCCGGGGCCAATCACGCGCACACACTTGTGCTAAGGCTGAGAGCAAACATGCAGCAAGATCCCCTGGACATGACGTTAACGTACTGGTGTCATTCCATCATCCTATGTAATCAATTCTCCTTGAAAATTTGATTGGTTTCGCTTGCTCTTTATGGCTGCTCAATTGATGGCATTGTTAAAGCTCCGTACAAAATCTTCCTCTACAAGCTTTCGCCCTATGAATATAATTTTGCCTTGCTCTGGTTGTGCCCCTGCGGTTTCTGGGGCGTCAGTCAGCTCAAACACCTCCCTCACCCCCTGCAACATCATGGTCGGCCCATCTCGCAAAACTATGCGCCCCTTGGATCGATGAATCTCGAACGCCCCTTCTTCCTCGCTTCCCGGCAGTTTGTTGTCCCACAGCACAGATCGTAACCACTTATCCACCTCGGCCACCTTGCCTGGCAAGAGGCTAGGCACTGGAATTGACATTGTTGATATGGTCTGGTCTTCTTAGCCGACATGACTCATTCTCTAGTAAAAGCAATGCTCTATTCGCTGGCTTACAGGATCGAGATGACTGTGGCCTTTGAGCCGTTCATTCCCTTCGTTGAATTGGTCGTATGCATGCAGATCAAGTAATAGTCCTTCTAGTTGGGGCACGACGCTCTTTTCAGTAACATGCAACTTCGCTAGGCCGTTGATGGATTGGATGCGAGCCTTGACAAGCTGTAACTCGGCCTCTGTAGCAAGGTCTGACTTGTTAATAACGATGACATCTGCGTGAGATATTTGCACATGCGCGGTCGTCATCAGCGGCCCGTGATCATCGTGGTCTTGATGCCCCTCAACCTTCCCAGTTGGATCATCCAAGCTGCGCAGAATATTTTTCGCGTCAACCAAGGTAACGATTCCATCCAAATATATCGTGCTTCCCAACCCATCATCTACCCAAAACAACGGCGCGATGTTGCCTGGGTCTGCGAGGCCTGTGGTTTCTAAGAGGATATAGTCGAATGCACCTTTCTTTTCCATAAGAGACTCTATGGCATTTACGCCAGTATCCCTGTCAAGGTTAGAATCGATTGTCTGTCAACCCCATACTACCACCTACTTGACTGAACAGCAAATGCAGCCGTTTCCCACGTCTAGCCATTCCTCCACCCTGTCGTCTCCCTGGTTGACGGTGAGAGACTTTTCAATGTCCAGTGCTGCCGAGGTGTTAGAATCCATTTATTGTGGGAATGATTGCTGCTCTATTTGCCCACAATCTCCAAATTCTGCAAAGCAAGATATGAGGATTAGCCCAGTTCCGTTAAAGGTGAATTCACGACACAAACCATTCATAATAACGGCAATCTTCTTGCCATGTTGAGCCGTCAAGATGTAATTCAACAATGTCGTCTTTCCAGCTCCCAAGTAACCTAATTTTTCATTAGCAACGGGCATACCATTCGATTCTCCCTTGGATACTGAAAGCACAGACCAGTCACAATTGTAATAGGGACTTTGACTGTAATTTCTTCACCATTTTGTTCAATCTGCCCCGCAGTGTCAACCAACTCCGGAGGGGCATCATCATCGAAATCCATTGCGGCCGGCGATGTTCCCTGTATGCGCGAGAAAAGAGGGTTAATTCAAAGAACAATATGATGCTTCAATAAGAATTACAAGAGACCAAGGTAATTCGCTCCCCAAATGCAAGCCGCGTCCGCCAATTACCTAGGTAGTTCACGTGGTGGATCGAGCTTCATGGCAGTCTGGCTGGCGTTCTTCGCGTCGGCTCGAAGCACGCCCCGCTAAGCCGCTTGTATCCACTTAGCGCGGGTTCCATGCATTTACAGAGCACCCCGTGCCAGATGCACCTATCAAAGACAAGCATGAGTACTCCGTACGATCAAGCGATCAAGCGAACAAGCGAACAAGCGCCGAGCTCGTCATTGCCTCTGGCAAGCCTGAATCATCACAACACAACGACAACAATTGTTGACCATATTCTGGGGGGTCCAGCAATCATACAACAGTACGGACAATGGCGCTGGCTCCCAGCTCGCCTCGTCTGCCGAGCCCTCCCCCGCCTGCGGAAATCCAAATCAGCCCAAACTCACCATCTGGAGGAGCACCAGCAAATCCTCATGCTACACACATGGAACAATCCGTCTTGGACGCCAATTCCAGGCGTCGCATACATCCGGGGACAAAGGCTGCTGATATGGCTGCCGGGCCACCTTTGGTGCCTCTGAGCGAGGTGAGAAGCATCGTGGCTCTCTATTCACACAAATCTGTTGCAATCCATCGCTGACGAGCAGCTTCTCGCTAGCTTGATTCAGCCTTTCAGTTGCAGGAGCATCTTGCTGCCCTGCATTATGACCGCACAGCCTCTGGCACGCAAGCGATAACGCGCGAGACCGCTCGCCAGCTCACCCAACCTCCCGCGGGCATCGACCGCACCATCTGGCTCTACGAACTGTGTCGATTCCTCATCTCCAAATGCAACCAACTCGTCGTAGGGTTCCTCTTCGACACCCCTCCTTGCAGCGCGCAAACGTGTCCCGAGATGCGAGCCTCCGAGTGGCAGTTTCTGTGCGCGGTCCATGAGCAGCCCAAGAGCTGCTGCGCCATCGACTACTGCTGCCACACGCTCGACTGGGCAGCCAACGTCGTGTCTGACCAAAAGCTCTTCCCCAGTCGGTTCGCAGTCCTCAGCGACGCCCACAGCAAAAATGCCGGCGTGAAAAACCTAGTCAATGTATTCAGGAGACTGCACCGCATTTTCGCCCACGCGTGGTTCCAGCACCGCAGCGTATTCTGGTCCGTGGAAAGCCAGACCGGTCTGTACGTCTTCTTCAAGACGGTGTGCGACCAGTACGATCTGCTCCCGGCTGAGAACTACAAGCTCCCGCCGGAAGCCGAGGGTCTCGAGGCGCCCCCGATCGAGCCCGAGGCCGACAAGCCTCCGCCAGCTATTCTGAAGCCGGCATCACAGCAGAGGCCTGCTGGGGCAGAAGATGACGGTCTGCACCCCGGTGGCCGCACCAACACTCGAAGACACATTAGGAGTAGTCCTTCGACAGGCAGTGCCGTGACGACGGTAATAGAGGCGGACGAAGAAGACACGGAAAATGTTCCCAACAAGATGGAAAGTCTGCACATTTCTGACACTCATTCAACTGGCCAGGAGCCAGAAAGCGCAGAAGTACCCGTCATTGTTGAATGCTCCGTCGTCGAAGGAGCTTCCAAATCACAGGAACAACACCCTCCAGAGCCAGTGGAGCCGCCCGCACCAGCAGAGGCAGAAACAGAAGAAGCAAATCAGACAGTTGTAGAGCCTGAGCCCGCTAGCAATCAAGATGAAAACCAAAACAAAGAGTCCAACATCCCCCTTCCGCCCGATGAAACCGATACAAGACCGTCTGAGTCCCATGTCGAGAAATCCTCTTCAGAGACAAAAACTGATGATGAGGAATCAAAACAACCGACAGACGAAGCCGTCCCTGATCCATCAGAGTCAGCCGAGGAGAAAAAGGAACCGGCCAAGGAGACTAAATCAGAGGACATGGCTGGGGAATCTGGACAGGTCCCTGATCCAGAGTAGACGGCATGACACGAGAATGAATGAGTAGGACAATGGTAGTTGTAGCGTTGCAGTCCTTGCACACAAGTCCCTTTCTCAAATTCGGGATTCCTCTTCTTACAGATGAGACCATATTGTATAATTCATAAATCCGAACAGCGATCGTGTTTACTAGGCCTCGAACTTTTAAAGACTTTGTGACATATGTAGGATATTTTCAGCGAATTTGAAGACGGCTCTAAAAAAAACGCGAATCACCGCATTCATATGATGTTTGACATGAAGTAAACTGTCTAATGGAAAACGCGTAAAACTTTTTATGTTCAGCAAGCCAAGTATTTGTATCTTGGCCATCTATCGGGGGAATAATCTTCAAGCATCGCCACGCTTCCTAGGGAACGCCACATTTTGTTTCTTGCAATACACAAGAAATACCCAACCAGTACTAAAGGTAGAACTCCTCCTTTCATCCGTGATATTAGGTCCTGCTGCTCTTTTATTCCTCTCATTGTTTCACATTCGTACAAGAGGCGTGGCAACAAGAAAATCGGCATAAACCGCACAACGCCAATGTCCAGATCAAGACATACCCGTTCCATCGTTGCCCGTCGTCAGGGCTAATTCGGCGGCCTCCATCTTGGCAAATAAATGTCGTACTTCCCGAATATTTTCATGCTGGGCGTTCACAGCTGCCGTATTTCGCTCGTCTGCAAAAGCGCGAATTGCTTGCAATATTGGAGTCAACCCTTCGTCGTTTGGTAGCCACCAATGGGCGCAGGACGGGTCACGGAACAGGTGCGCCATTTTTATTCGTCGCGTAGTAGGGTGTATAAATCTTTAACATGGTGTCAGACAGTACGTCTGCAGCCGTGTTTCAAGGCAACTAATGCATTGCGCTACCGGGTCTGGATAGGAGACGGGCTGCACTCACCCCATTGTGTCTAGTAGAGCAAACTTCCTGCGAACCCACATCTGATGACGAGAGTCTCGCGGCAGGAAGAGAGCAGCAATGGAAATACAAGGCTGTAGCGGTATTAGGGCTCCCTTGGGTTTCAGTGGCCACAATTCTACAGTCTCGAAATACTGGCAGATCGTGTAGGCATGTTTTGCCATCTCCATAAAAACTTGTTCCGCAGGAGTGTCCGACGATTGCGATAGGTGCATAAGCATGATAGAAGTCCATTCCGTGGTTATCAAGGTATTTGTGAAGAGTGGCTGCTTGTAAAGAAGACCTGGCATGTACGGGTTCACGATATCACCGGGATCCACGTCGCGTTGGTAAGAAAAGTCCGTTACCAAATATTCCGGCAACGAAAGGGCGGCATCCCAGGTCGATTTCCACTCGAGAAGTTCGTCGGTTATTCTCTTGTGCTCCTTGGTGAAGTCTTCGGGCCCTATTTGCCCGCGACTGCCACGTGCGTAGAGCATAGACATGTCGTATGACACTGAGCGAAGTTGAGTAGATCGAGAACTAATTTTCCAGCGTAACTCGTCGGGACTGGCGCCAAGTTGCGATTCGTTGTACTCGTTCATTCGGTTGAACCACTCCCTAGGCAGATCAGTCGGGAACCCACCCATAATGGCGACGTAACAGTCGTAGCGGGTGTACCAGTCGATGCAGGCTCTTCCAACTGGCGTGTGCATAACCGTATCAGGCGTGAATATTTTTCGAATAACTTGGAAGGCCGCCTTTTGATGTCCCATGAGATTAATCCAATCACCAAAATATTCCTGTAGTAATAGTCAGCATCTCTCTGCTTGCGGTGTCAGGCTGCAGGAAGAGCATACTTCTATAGTCAATAGCTGCAGAATGGTTATCAGGTTCAGGACGTTGTCCATCCCTTTTCGATTTATAGATTCTAGGAGAAGTGTGACACTTTTATTGTAGTATTTCAAGAAGTCCTGGAGTTTGCCAGCGGGATTCTGCAACGTGGCGTGATATGTTGCAAAGCCAACAACAGCATTAAGAAGAGGTTCGTGTTGAACAGCTAGAGAAGGCAGAATGGTACCAAAGAAGTCATCAGCATCGTGCATGATACTGTAGTGAAAGCTGGTGATGTTCTCCACAAAATAATTCAGGTAATGTTGGTAGTCCAAAGGAAGATGCGACCAATCTGCACGGCCATCCGTAGGTATGTTTAGGTCAATCGACGGAGCCACAGTCACACTGCTGCCACCAGTCGATACTGAAGGAGAAGATCCTTTGTTTCCGTCCGGTGATGAGCTTTCCGTGCTTTGCCGCGTGGTGACGTTGCGGTTCGAGGAACCCGTGGCTTTGCTTCCTGATAGTTGAGAATCAGACCTCTCTTCGGAAGACAATTCTTCAGGTTCCTCCTTGTCGAGGATCGTCTGAAGGGGCTTTGTGACCGGGTCCATATCAGCGTCTTCCCCCTCGTTCGATGATTTTGGGCTCGTCTTCTGAAATGTATTGTCTTTGGACTTGGAGCTTTTCGAGGTTGGCGGGTCAGGATAGACGCAATCACGGTTGCCCTTTTTACAACCTGATTACATGTTAGCATTGCGACAGGACTTGGGTTTGGGAAGTAGATAGCACCGTAGGAAAACATCCTCGGCTTGAGAGTTGCATCTACTCACGTTCACATATCGGACGGGTCTCATCACACTACAGATGCTCGAAGCCGTGGTTAGCACGATTCTCTGACTCGGCAATACTGTTAGGAGCATGGAGGTACTACCTTTACGCGCCTGCTTCGGCACATGAAGCATCCTGACCGTGTCCGTCGATGTTTGACATGATCGGCTCCAAATGTCGGTCCCACGATGGACTTTTTTTTACCTTTCCCAGTCTTTGACGCATGAAGAAGGGACTGGTCAGGATACGTTCCCAAATGTCCCAAATTATGATATGGGTTTTGCATCATCGGGCCTGATATTGGAACGTGATATCCTGGCATGATGGACATGCTCAGCTCTTCGGGATTGCCAGGGAAATAGCCTCCCACTCCCGACATTGATGTCAGGAAATGGTGATAATATTCATCCATGACGACTCCTCGGAGACGATGTTTAATGATGCCGGTATATATGTCGATGGATGCAGCCTTTTCCAGCACCGGGGTGTATATACCATACTCAATAGGGCAAACAATGTGTTTCGCTGCAGAGGTGTGGGCATAGATTGTCATCAAGCGGAGCTATGCCGCAGCAGTCGCGTAAAGTCTGGGGGAGATCCCACAGTTATCCAGCCGTGTCATGGAACAGAGGATGTATGAGCTCCCGCTAGGGCAAGCAGAGTCAGCAGCAACACCCTTTTTTGACGAGGACGTCTTCGGGGATTGACTGTTTTGGCACCCGCCGTGGGTCTGCCTTGCTGTTGTTTGCGATGCTCAAGGCAAAGAATGTAACCCGGCGTGCCAGCCCTGAAGAGGGCCCGAGACGTTATAAAGCGTCAGTTCAAAGATTGCCGTTTCTGATGCCACGAATCGGCCGCAAAGCCGAGCGACGAATGTTTGGTAAAGAAGCGGAATGGAGGTGGCTTATGCCTTGTGAGAATGCGACGAATGTGATGACAATCAGTCCGGAGGCGCGGCGGGAATTTGTTAGATCGTGCAGGTGTGTACGAGAGATGTATCTTTAAGCAAGGAAACCATTTCCGAACGTTTCCAATTTGCGGAGATGTCGTAGGGGCCAGCTCGTACATCTAAGTGGGTGCGGTACTCCAGACGGGCGTCTGAGGGGGGAAAACCCTTCTTTCGAATAGCATCAACCCCCTGTATAGTGACGGAAGCAATGGTTGTGTGAGATGGGGCACATGACAGGGAGTTCCCCCTGGTAGCCTTGTCCAAAAGTGCCAGAACACAACTGTCAACGGCAGATGCCCGGGTTGGTCCGCACAACCACCAGTCCGCCACAATCCGAAGGTCAAGGTAATTAAAGTGGTGCGTTGCTTGCAGAAATGACCCGATATTGAACCCAGATGACCCCCAGGAATCGGTTTGACCCTTGTGGACGTCGTCGTTGACAAGGACGATGGGTATCTGTAACTGTAGATCCCCACGGCGGTAAGGGATGAGGCAAGATATCTTCGTTGCCTAGGACGGGTTCACACTAGATCCTGGATTCGAAAAGAAGAGAGTAACAGTAACACACACACACACACACACAAAATAAAATTTTAATAAAAGAGCCCAAGCCCTGAGCCAGACGCGTCATAAGCCGGAGACCCTTGCGCGATTGACGATGTCTTGTAACGGTGGTCTTGGGTATAAGATGATGTGGTATGGCGTGGAGACGGAGCACTTGAGCTCTTCGCTCCTAGGTGGATTCTCAGTTAGTTACGGCCACGAGCCGTAGAGCTAGATATTCTCAGTTAGAACGCTTGCGACACTACTCGGGCACCTAAAAGGTCGCAGCGGCAGGGCAAGTTGGTTAGGCACCCAACAGAGGCAGTGGGTGTAATAGAATCGAAGGCCCTACGCCTTGGGCAGCTGACGTTAGGCAGCATAAAAACGGATATTTCAGAGCCAGGTACGGAATACTCACCTTGCTTGAGCTGCGCTATAGTTTTGCCAAGGACAGATCCCAACTTGATTCCAAAACACACGGGCAAACACAGTGGATTGTTAGCTGATTGAGCATGGCAAATGAAATGGATCCATCCACTAGATAAATGCCGGGCCGGGCAGATAAGACGAGTCAAAGCAAAGTTTCGACTCCATTTCTCATACAATACAACGGTGTATTATAATATCCGACGGAGCGGACGAACGGGCTTGAACCGGATATTATCACAGGCTTGTGAACGGCTTCGGTAGGCTGTCCCGAGTCTGCAGGCCAAAGTTGTGAAATGTCAGTTGTGATAATTGGCTTGCTCGGCCAGAAGAACCCATGAGTGGTTAACCACTATCAGAAGCTCAGAACCGGTGAAGAGCCCTTGGGTGTATACAGCAGAGACAGGCTTGCCTTTCAGCAGACTCACTCCAGTGTTCGGATGAGAGGCGGAATGTCAGTTCCCGGAAAAAGCAAGTGATCTCCAGTACTCCGTACATTTCGACTGCCAG